ACATATGCGAATCGATTAATATGATATACCACATTAACAAATTAAAAAATAAGACTCATATGATCATATCAATAGGTGCGGAAAACGGCTTCGACAAGATACAGCATCCATTTATGATCAAAACACTTTACAAAATCGGTATAGAAGGAACGTACCTTAATATAATAAAGGCCATATATGACAAGCCCTCAGCCAACATTATCCTTAATAGTGAAAAACTAAAAAGCTTCCCTCTAAGATCAGGAACAAGGCAAGGCTGTCCACTATCGCCACTGTTATTCAATATAACATTGGAGGTCCTAGCGAGTGCAATCAGGCAAGAAAAAGATATAAAAGGCATCCGAGTAGGAAATGAAGAAGTCAAACTGTCACTATTTGCCGATGACGTGATTCTCTATATAGAAAACCCTAAAAACTCCACGAGAACACTACTAGAAACAATAAGCGAATACATAGTTTCTGAAACAAAATAAATCAATGTTCAAAAATCCATAGCGTTCCTATACTCTAATACTGAAGTGTTAAAAAAAAAGAAGTGGATAAAATAATACTTTTGGAATTGCAACAAAAAGAATAAAATACCTAGGAATAAATTTAATGAAACATGAGAAGGGCCTATATAATGAAAACTACAAGACCCTTTTAAAAGAAATCAAAGAAGATACAAAGAAATAGAAAAATATTCCATGTTTTTGGACTGGAAGAATCAATATAGTTAAAATAACCATATTACTTAAAGCATTATACAGATTTAATGCAATCCCCATCAAAATCCCACCGGCATTTTTTAAAGAAATAGAACAAAAAATCATCAGATTTGTATGGAAGCACAAAAGACCCGAAATGCCAAAGTCATTCTGAAAAAAAAAAAGAACGAGGCGGGAGGCATCACTCTGCCTGACTTCAAATTGTACTACAAAGTGACAGTAATCAAAACAGCATGGTATTGGCAGCAAAACAGACACACGAACCAGTGGAATAGAATCGAGAATCCAGAAGTTAACATATATTTACATGGGCAAATAATTTTCGACAAAAAAGCCAAAAACATACAGTGGAGAAATCTTCAATAAATGGTGCTGGGAAAACTGGAAAGCCACCTGCAAAACAATGAAACTAGACTGCTGTCTATCACCACACACCAAAATTAACTCGAAATGGATTAAGGACCTGAATATAAGACCTGAAACAATAAAATGCGTAGAAGAAAACATAGGAACAACTCTAAGACCTTGGACTTAAAGAGGATTTTATGAATCTGACCTCAAAGGCAAGGGAAGTAAAAGCTAAAATTAATGAATGGGACTGGATCAAACTAAAAAGCTTTTGCTCAGCAAAAGAAATTGTCAACAAAGTAAAGAGAAAATCATCTGAATGGGAAAATATATTTGCACGCAATGCCTCTGATAAGGGCTTAATATCCAAAATATACAAAGAACTTATCAACTCAATAACCACAACAACAACAACAACAACAACAGAACGATCTAATCAAAAAATGGGCAGAGGATCTGAACAGACATTTTTCTCTCTAGAAGATATACAAATGGCCAACAAATATTTGAAAAGATGCTCAACATCGCTAGCTATTAGAGAAATGCAAATCAAAACCACAATGAGATAGCATCTCACACCTGTTAGAATGGCTATCATCAACAGGACAAGTTATAA